TGGGGAGCGCGGCCCGGGGCCAGCCCAGCCGCTGCGGGTCCGCCCGCCCGCCATGTTTTCCCCTTGGGTACGCGCCCCCCCGGGGCCTGGCACAAAGCCGCACGTCTTCTGGATGGATCTGGGGGGTCCCCGGGCCGTCCCCCTTGGGCGGACAAGTGCTTCTGGGTGAGACATTCCTCTGAGGCATCGCTGAAGAAGTGGGGCCTCAACTCCGGCGCGCGGAGGAGCAATGGGGCAGCTTTCCCTCGTTTCCGTCCGGCGCTGACCGCCACAGCGGCCAGGATGCAGGGCCACCCTGCGGGGCCTGTGGAGGCAGGGATTTCAAGGAGCAAAGCTCAGGGAGGATTTCAGTGGGATAACCATCACCCGGCCGGGGAGAGGCATGACCCTGGGTGGGAGGAAGGGTGAGCCCAGCCCGAGCAGAGGTCGGCTGGCCGGGGTGTCCCGAGGTGAGGAGGTGGGACTGGACAGGCAGGGACAGGCCGAGGCCACCTTCCAGAGCTGATGGAAATAAGCCCAAGTTTAACCTGGACAGTGGAGGTTAAGAGTGTGGAGAAGAAAGGCAAAAGGGCTAAGGACAGGGGAAGGAAAAGGAAGGAAACCAGGGCTGGGTTTATTCCTTCATCCAGGGAAACCTCATGTTCGTCCACGCCAGAAATGAGCTGATGGAAGGAGGCACCAAAGGAAGCCTGGAGACAGCATCAAGGTGAATAAACAATGTCTTTATGCACCAACATCCTCAAAGTGAAAGTGTTTCAGTGGAAAGTATTTTGATTTCAAAAACAGCAGCTACAGTTTCTGTTTTGCTATGCACTGTTAACCCAGAGACCTCAGTTGACAGTATGTTTTGGTAATACATCAGCATGAAAATGACCAACATAGATGCAGGTGTTTGATACGGATTTGTGAGCTATGAAAAAGCACGTCTTAGCCACATTAAGCGTTTAAACTCGATTTACAAGGTAGCAAAGGAACATTTTCTCCATTCCCCAAACTGACACTTCCTCTGTGTCCTATTGCAAGGCAATTTAAAGGCACATCATAAATACCATTAGAAGTTCGTTGTTGAATTGGATATTAGTAGTATTTTTTGAAGGACAGTCTTACTATTGTTCATCCTCTTTTCACCAATACTGCAAACCAAAAAAACACAGGGAGATGTTTCGTGGTGATTATAGGTTCAGTTCTGCTCCCACTAAGTCAGCAGCCGTTGGGTTGCTGTGATGGGGCAGATTGCTGATGTGATGACATGTGGGGTGTGGGGACAGAGAGTTTACCAGAATGATCCTTACACTGTGTTCTTCATTAGTGGCAAAGCCCTAATCAAATTTTGCAGAGTACCTTGCATAATTCCCGATAAGTGCCAGTAAATCAGTATGTATCACATACGCTGCAGAAAAGCTATTTCAGGAATGTCTTAGGTGTCGTCTCTTACATTTTATTTGTCTCCCTCTGCCAAAAAAGATGCATTAGTAATCGTGATCCAGACTATCAGATAGGCTGGGCTGGTGGGGTAGCTCATGGAGGCAGGTTTGCTTCCTGGCTAAAGGTATTGGCTCCAGAGAGAGGGAGCTGCAGAGATCAACACATGTCCCTGTGCACTTCCCTGTGCAGTAAAAAGGTGTGATGATAGAAGCTTATTTTGGAACTCTGGTCTAAATACAAATGAGATCTGGCACATTTTTGTCACCAACTCCACCACCTGTTCTTCAGCTCTCCCAGAGCCCAGAACTGAGTCTATCCAGCCACACACTGCACTTCTCATTTCAGTCCCCTGCCCTAGCTGCTCTTTCTCCTCCTGCCTGAAAGTGGCAAATCTGATCACCACACCTTTGTGACACTTTCTGAGTAAGTGGTGCAAATAACCTCTGAGGCCAGATTTTTGGGAGTGCTCAGCACTTCTTAACTCCGGTTTAAGCCAGTGGCAGTTCTAGGTGACATTTCTTCAGTAAACCAGGTGTCTGGCTCCCCTGTGATGTCCTCACCTTCTTTAAGGTCCCAGTTCTTGGTACATTAACTTGGGATAGAAGCAGAGGGTTTCAAAATCAAAGTCCTGTCAACATCTGACACTGTTTCCCTGTTCTGTTATCCTTCCTGTTGACTTGAAGTCCCATTTTTGGGAAGCTCATCTGCCTTGTTTCAGAACTGCTTGAGTACCACTGCTGAATGCATTTGGTTGAACAACCACAATGACCATAAGAACTTACCTCTTACTACCTAACATTTCTCACCATACGATGATCTCCACCAGGGGCTGAGAGAAGGTGAGGATGAGGAGAGAAAGAAACCTGCTTCATTTAAAAGCGGTGGACTAGATAATGTAAATGATTAGGATTTAGGATATTTCACTGAAAGAGCTGCAGTTCAGTAGAATGAACAATCCGGGAAAGTCTCCTTTTCTTCTGGAGTTCTGCAAATGACTTTCCCAACTCTTTCTAAGCAGGCGGGCATCTTCATGCACCCGGCAAGAGGAGGGCCTTGCTGTTTGCTGCAGTGAGACTCTGGAAGCTGAGGTTGCTCTAGTCACCTGCAAGAGGTTTACATCTCTCAGACCATTTTGAAACCTTCATCTGTTTTACTCCTTGATTGTAAAGTGGATTGGCACCTCTCTGAAGGACAAGTATGTGTTCTTTGAACCTTTAGTAAAAATAATTTGGCTCAAAACCAAGTCTAAAACGCTGGATTATAATTTTGACCTGAAGCATAGATGACAAAATGATAAATTTGCAAAACTCAGGCATTTTTCAGAGCACATGAATTCAATAGGAGTATTACCATCAACATCAAAGGGAGCAGGATTGAACCTGTAATGTATAGCACTAATGACTACAGTCAAATAAACTTATATTGCCTGGGTTTTCTACCACTTTTTGCCTTTTGCGTTTGCACACTTTCATGTGTGTGCCAAGTGAGTGGATCCAGAGTGCTACCATTTCAAATCTGGGGCACCTATAGCAGGTTAGTAAAGATATAAATAATGATGCAGGGTGGCAAGCTTTGGGGAATCTGGTCTTCTTGTTTCCATAAATAAGTAAAAGAAGTGAAAAACTGAAAACCTTGAAAAATGAGATTATAGTCTTAGTGAGATCTTCAGAAATATTTATACTTAATTTGATCTGCTTGTGGCAATTGGTATTTTTTTACTTCCTTGCGGTGCAGCTCAATTTGAATAAAAATGAGTATGAAATAGCATATCTTGGGGGAAATTCATAATCCTAGACTTCCATCTTTGTATACTATTTGTTTTATCCTCTTTCTGCTGTGTCTGGAATAGTGCACAACTGTCAGCAGTAGCCGTTTTGTCCCCTCTGGTTAGTTCTTACCTGGCTCGCTCTCCACAGAGCTACAGATAGTGACAGAAGAGAATGTAAGGTATGATAATAGCCTCCTATTTAACTCAATTGAATTTCTTTTGTTGGCTAATTTTCATTTGTGTTTACATCGTTTTCTAAATTGCTCAGATTTACAACCTTAAACTGTGGATGCTTCTTCTTGGGGAGGGAAAAAAAAAAGGAGGAGGAATCATCTTTCTGCATGTGTATTACATTTCAGATGGATTAAAGTAAAAATGTCAAAACTTGAATGTCAGTTTTGATTAACAGCTAGATCAGAAATGCTTTGTTTCCCAAGTATGAGATTTTCTATGGTCTTAACATTGCCTTGGCCTAGGAAAATCCTAGAGTTTGTAGCAGCATTGATGTCTACTTTTAAAGTAAAGAACAATCAAAATTAAAAATGTGATGTTATTCCATTCTAAATTACCTTTATCGTTTACGTTTTCTTGATTCCTTGCTTGGGACTTAAGTGGATTTATCAAAGTTCTTAGTCTGTGCTGCCTATTGATAGGATCTCCAGTA